ATTTCTATATAAATGGACTCAGAACTATGTTTTCTTTTGTGTCGGGCATTTTTTTCACTCAGCATTATTACTGTGAGATTTATCTGTATTTCTATTGCAATTGCAGCTCATATATTCACATTGTTATTTAATATTCTACTGTGTGACTAGACTGAAATTGATCCATTCTACTATTAGTTGTTATTTTAGTAGTGTTCAATTTCAAGCTATTATAAGCTGAGTACCACTATAAACAGTCTAGTATGCTATGCTAATAATATGTGTATATTTTTTTTGTTAGCTATATGCTTATGTGTGGAATTGGTGGATCATAGGGTAGGCACAAGTTCAGCTGTAAAAGAGAATGCCAAACAATTTCACAAAATAGTTCTCACCAATAATGTATGAGAGTTCTGGTTGCCCCACATCATCTGAATTTTTGACACTGGATTTTTTTTTTTTTTTTTCATTATACTCATCCTGGTGGAGTGTAGCATTATTTCATTATGGTTTTTGACTGCATTTCTTTGAAGATAGACTTTTATCCTTTAATGTCTGTTCAAGTATTTTATCCTTTTCTTCCCATTGTCTTGTGTTGTGCTTTTGTTGTTGTTGTTGTTGTTGTTGTTGATTTGTATGAGGTCTTGATGTATCCTGATATAAGTGTTTATTGACATTCACATGGTTATGGCTCTAATTTCTTTTTCATTTTTGTTGTTTTAGCACATATCAGAAATGCAAAAGTTATTTGGGACTTGTATTTAAAAATGGACATAGATTTATTCTTTAAATGTTCAGAAACACATACGTAAACACTGCCACTTAGTATTTGATATAGAATAGCACAAAACTTACAAAGACTATAAGGTAGCAAATAATTAGATGAAACATCTTATATTGTGAAAAACAGTGATTTTTGTATTTTCATGTAGTATATATGTTCTTTCATGAAAAAGAACCAAAACTATGTGGTTGCCTTTAATGTAAATTTAAATTGCTTAAATTTGGAATTAAACAATGTGAAAGAAATGACATATTTTCATTTGAAGTATATCATAGTGTTAAAAAGACATCATAGACTATCATAGTGTTAAAAAGACAACACCCATATAACTTCAAAGCTTATGATATAGTGAATTTCAAACTGTTTATTATTTTTCTCCTTGGGTCTGTCACATTTTCTGGCAAACAGAACCTTTGTTGAGATTTGTTCCGAGTTATGCAGGTTTGAAATGATGCAAGATGTCTTGGATAAAATTCTACAGTCTTCTTACTGGACCAAACCTCTTCAAGCTCCAAAACTTTGTAGTTTATTTATTTAAGTGGAACCTTTTTTAATATATTACATGCTTCCCTGCCTTTTAAAACTGAGCAGACTAAAACACAATTACAATTTTCATACTAAGACATACCTTCACACACTGTTTTTTTTTTTTTTCTTTCTTTCGCAATGCTGTATGTGACTTCTTTCTGACTCACAGGTGGCCTGGCATATTAGACAGAAACTAGATTAGTAGTCTCAATCCTAGTCCCACCTCTGTTACTGACACATTTTGTGAATTTTAGGGTCATTTAAACTCCATGATCCTCACTTTCTTAATAATGTAAATTAATGGGTAGGGCTACATGAATGTCTTTAAGGCTCCCGCTGACTCAGAGATCTATTCTACTTATTCAATGAAACTGTAAAATTTTGCAAATATCAGATTCCAATAAGTGGATCTCTCCTGTGTGTGTGTGTGTCTGCCAAGATTTATCACAGATTGCCTCTCTAAATTAGGTTCTGCATCATGTAGAATTGATTTTTGGAAGCAAAAGGATGTAAAGACCCAATTTCACTTTTCTCTTATAGATAACTGATTGTCCCAGCAATCTTTATTGACTACTGTATCTTTTGCTAACTTATTTGTAATGGCAGATGATATAAATTGTTTTCATATATGCTTATTAGAATGCACACACACAGATATATATATATATATATGAATTCATACACATTTATATATATGAACTAGAATCCACTTGACTACCTATCATCAAATGAGCAGAACAGTGAGCAATGAGAAATGAGTTGAAGGAATTGGCAAACGTTTATTTTATTGATCATGGTTAACTGTTTCCTAAAGACTGAGACCCAAGTTCTTTATAGAAGGTGAAATTCCCATGGGATTGTATAATGCCAAAAGAAGCTTATTGCAGTTGGTCATATTTTATCTTATCAGCATCAGCAGTGTATAGAATGACTTTCAATAGCCTTGGCAAAGGGTGGAATTAGTCTCTTTTCTTCTAGTTTTATGTCAGTTTGATGGCTGTGAGATGGTATCTAAATATAGTTTGTTTGTATGTTTTACCATTTCCTGAATACTAATAGGATTGAACATCTTTTCATTTATTCATAAGCAACACGTATCTGTTTTTCTATGAAATTACATTTCTTTTGTCTATTTTCTCCATCAGTTGTCTTTATTTTTGTATTGAATCATTGAGGTTCTTGGCATATTCTAGATTATAATCCTAGAATTATAGGATTCTAATTAAAATAAAATGAAAATATTTTCTCCATATTGTTATTTAACTTCTTACTCCATGGTATTACTGATGAACCAATATTCTTAATTTTAATGTGGATGAATGTATGAATACATCCTTTTACCTCAATATCTCCTCATTTTACCTATCCTAATGCATTTTCTTAATTCCATAATTTTGTAATAAATGTCCATCTTTACACAGGCAACTTCATCTTCTTTCTCTGGCATATCGTGGCTATTTGGGACCCTTTTTTTCTCAAAAATTGTGAAGAATCAGCTTTTTACATTTACTTTTAAAATTTATTGAGATTTTTATTGGGATTTTTACTGAATCTATAAATCTATTACATATGTTGAAACATTGATTGTCTCTAGTACACAGAGCCCTAAATTCTTTCTAAAGTATCTTATTAAGCCAAATAACTTTTGTAGATTAGTCTTTCACTTTGTGCAATATATTTATTTACATGACATGATTTTCTTCATTTATAATCTTTATGATGTTCCTATGTTTTTCTTGTCTTCCTGCATTAGTTACAATTTCTAGGATTGAACAGAAATGTTGACTGTGGGAATCCTTGTCCTGTTTCTTATCTTAAAGAGAATATTCAAGATTTCACAATAACATATGATTTATGTTGTTTGTTTTAGATTGTTTATCACATTTATCACATTAATTAGGCAAGCAGAAAGACATTTACTATTTCTCACCAACACATCAACTTTACCAGATGCCTGCACAGTATTTTCTCATTGTATTTTCACATTCATTCTGAAAGATTGGTATCTCTAACCATTTTCAGAAACCGAAATTTGAAAAGCTCCATAGTTGTTCTAGTGACAGCTAGTGGCCAACCTGGAATCCAAACTCATATTTTGGCCCACATTTTTCTCTCAGGATAATATAGCTATGCTTGTTCCTAATATTGGACCACTTGCCATATTGGACTGACCAGGGGAGCAGACACCTGAGCTATAAATTTCTGAGACAGTAATTAAGTCCATTGTATTCACTTCATTATCCCTAATGACTAGTACTGGGCTTAATCTTTGGAAGGTGCTCAGCCAATATTTTGAGTGTTTGATCGGAGGGATTCACGATTACATGTTGGGATGTCCTTCCTGTGACTCTTACTCAGAATTATTTGGCCTGACTGACAGTCTTGACAAATAACTTACTTATAGTCAATGACTAATATTCTAGGGCTCAATTCCTTGTGAAAATCTCTAGGTGCTCACCATGTTATTTAGTGCCATAGTTTGACTATCTGTAGCCACTGATGGGATCTACATCCAGGAGGGCAGGTCATCTGGCATGATGAGCTGAAACTGATTTGAGCTCTGATTCCAGGACATGAGTTATTTGACAATCAAATGAAAATAGTCCTGAGATTAAAAACCTATTATAGGGGAGAGCATAACACCTGCTGGTGCATCAACCCTATCGTGGTCATAATAGTGATAGCATGTTGCCAGTGGGAGAGATTAAGTTTCTCCAGTACCTTTTATAATTATATGTTTATCGTTTATCAGAAGCTGATTCGCAACCATACTGTCTCATTTTTCTTGGCACAGCATCGTTATTATCTAGAAAGTCAAGGAGGCTTATGCCTTACAGTTTTCCTTTGGTTAAACTTACTTCATCAGTGGGAGAAGACTGCTCTTTCCAAATAGCCACCTTTCTGTTTGATCCGTCTAGCATCTTGTGAGATCCACATTGTTACCCCTAAGCATGGTAAAGACTAAGATACGTAGAAAATATTGAGACTTCATGTACATGCTATCCCCATGATGATGTGCTAGAATTCTTACCAATGTCATAACAGGCAGCCCAGCCATCTGCTTGGCTAGACCAGGGAATGAACCAGTAATCCAGCTGACTCCATTAGACTTTCTACCGCTACTCCCTCCATCCAGAGAGAAAAAATGCACGTGGTCTGTAGCAGATCTGTTTACTCCCAGACCAGATTATATCTTTTTTTTCATTTCTCCTCACCAGATAATTTGTTATAGTCTCTCAATAATAAAACTGTTTGTCTCTGCATTGAAAAAGATCTTTGAATATAAATGTCTCTCTGAAAATAAAAATAATTGCTCAGTTGGATGGAGAGAATGTTGAAAACATCTTGGAATCCATTGTTGTCAGCAGAGTGGAACCATCCAATATGCATTTATGGTAACCTGATTCATGCCCTGGAGACATCACAGAGCTACTTTCTCTGATCAGAGCTCTTGCAGTGTTACTGAAAAATTAATTGAATTTTCAAGAATGTCAGCTTTAGCTACTGCAGTTGATGTTCCAATAGTTGAGGAGATTTATTAAAAATATACTGCCACCTACTGTACTGTTTGTCTGAGACAGGGTTCATGTCATGAAATCTAATTAAGCAGGGTTAATTTGGGGGGTGATTAGCTATTGTTTCTGTTAAGATATGCTAATCTGCATAGTGTATTTGTTTACTTATGTATGTATCATCTGTTTTCCTCCAGGAAAAGAAGAATATATTGCCACGTTCAAGGGATCTGAATACTTCTGCTACGACTTGTCTCAAAACCCCATTCAAAGCAGCAGTGATGAAATAACTCTGTCCTTTAAAACCCTTCAGAGGAATGGACTGATGCTTCACACTGGGAAATCGGCTGATTATGTCAATCTTGCCCTGAAAAATGGAGCTGTCTCTCTGGTCATTAATTTGGGATCAGGGGCCTTTGAAGCACTAGTGGAGCCTGTGAATGGAAAGTTTAATGATAATGCCTGGCATGATGTGAAAGTCACCAGGAATCTGCGTCAGGTAACAGCGCAGTGGATAAGAGAGTAACTGGCTTTGTTTCTCGCTACAGCTGTGTATGTGGTACTTGAAAACTCTAACAACATGATACAGGGCTCCTCAGTGTCACTTGCAAATTAGCTTTTTCTTCTTCTGAGATGAATCTTCCTGCCATACTTGAGCAGGGGCATATCTAGAAAGTTATGGGGGCCCAAAGTCTATTTTGATACAGGAACCTATGAAAATTTCTAAAAGGGCTGCAAGGATATCCCCTGAGACCTGCCCTTCCTGTGATGTGTGTGATTTTGTTGTGTTTTTGGTTTTTTGTTTGTTTGATTTTAAATTATAGTTTTCATGGTGATCATTTGGAAGCATGCACATTGGGGTCATTAAATCACAGTTCCTTTTTTGTAGTAAAAAAAATAGTGTGTGTGATTTGGGATTGTATCAATCCCTACTCCGTCCTCCTGCCACCCCCAAAATGGGGACAAGAAAAGTCCCTGAGGGGAAGAATGACTTTGGGGGCTTACATATCTCCTGAAGGGTCTGTTTTTAAAGATATTTTTATTTTTAGCATAGATACTTTAAGTTAAACCCCAAATGACTCTGGAAAGGGAAGTTCATCCTCCAGGTGCCCGTTTCTACTTGCTCATATTTAAAAAAAAAATCTTTCAAGATGCTATATACTAAGAAAATATCAACTATTTACTAAATTTGTGGGTCCACATATACTGTATGTTTTTAACGGAGACATATGATTACAGTATATATGCGGATGAAATGAATAGATTGTCCTTTTATATTGAACATTATAAGTTTTGGGTATTAAGTGAAACTTTACACTACAATGTATCATTTTGTTAAGTGTTGACAGTAACTAATTTTTTTGCCAAACATGCTGATCTCAAACTAATATCCTTAACGTATTTGTTGTTTCTCTGAACAGTTGCAGAATGACTGGATTGTCTCTGGTTTTCCTTTACCAAAACAGCCCTTTCCTTCAGAGCTGTTAACTGTCTAACCTTTTCTTTCCCACTTCTGAAAAGTTTAAACTATCAGAGCTAGAGAAACAAAAAGGAGCTTTAGGAGTGTAGATTTAGTCTCGCTAAGGCAGACAAGTAAAACTGAAAGATTCTTGAGAACCCCAGGCCTTCCAGATGCTTCCTTGACATAGGAGGGGCCCTGCATGCTTCCGGCTGCCTTGGGAGAGGGTTGACCACCATCAGTATAGCTGTAGACCATGGGTTTCCTATAAGTCTGTCTCTTTGGTTTTCTTTTTTGTTTTTTGTTTTTCTCTCAGATACGCACCAAGAGACTGGAGGCTCATTTGAGAGAAGCACAGAAGGGTGGGGGCTTGAGGAGTCCACTTTCTAGATTTGCCTTTGCTCAGGTTACAAACCAAACTGCGAATTGGTAGCTCAAAGGAAACTGTAGTTATACAGCCGGGGTGCATGTGCAGCAGGACAGACTAAACACAAATCCATTCTACTCATTCTGTGTGTCAGGATCTTTGCTTTGTTTCATTGCAGTAAACTGTGACCCTAAAGTCCATCAATATGACCGAAGGAAGTTTTGAAGTTGAGGAGGAGTCCTTGTATGCTGTAAAATGGAGTAGCAGGGCAATGCTAACTGATTCCTACTAATTTCCTGGGGTTTGGGTGGGCCAGGGTGGAGGAGGGGTCAAGTATGGGCACAGGGCTGCAATGGTCAGCTGAAAAGCTTTAGGCCTTTGAATCCCTTTTAGACTTTTCCAATGTCTCTCAGATGTACTCAGGAAGACAAAGGGAACATTGCCATGTGTCTGTTTCTGTCTGGTAGCAAGTTATGAACAATAATGGCAGGAAAAATATTACCTCTGTGGGAGGCCTACCTGTTAGTCTGCTTTTTTCTTGTAAAATTTTTTTGCCCTTTTTCTATGTTACTAACATGCTTAATAACTAACATGTCATTCATGGAATGTTTCATTCTACTAACCGTTACCTGAATCAAAAAATGTACTAACATGGTAGAGACCATCATATTTTTTAAGTAACGATCGTTATTCTGTTCACAGTTTTTAATTTCCTTTCTCCCCCCTTCTCCACAAAGCACTCAGGCATTGGACACGCTATGGTAAACAAACTACATTGTTCGGTAGATATCATTCTAATTGTTTCTTATTTTGGGTTTGCCGTGTGTTTTCTTTCTTTCTTTTAACTGTAGACATCATTAACAAAAGAGGAACTGCGGTTGGTACTCTTCTGCTTACTTTGACCTCCTTCTTTTCATCTGTTGTTGACCTTCTTATTTTTTACCTGTTCCTGTCAACTTCTGTTTTCCAACTCACCTGTAGGGGCATCGTTAACGTTTCGAACGTTTTGCATCCAGCTGTGGTTAACACGGGATAAGACAAAATGGTGGCTGGCCCGAGTGACCGCAGGCTCAGCCAGTCTCTAACCATTCATGATGCATGGCATGGACACTTGATTTGGGAATGCTGGAGATGCCACACCCACTCATCTTTACGTCATCACAAAGCAGTTGTTTTTATTTGTTTCCTTTGGTTCTCCCTGTTTTCTTTCTTTCCTTTTCTGAACTGTACTGTCCCTCCTGCATGTGCACATCGGCGTGTGCGGCTTCTACTGGTTGTTTTGCCTTTTCTCCCCCTTTGGCATGGACTTAGGCACTTGCATGCTGAACAATTGCTGCTCAACAGTGCCAGTAGTGATGTTGCTGGAAATAGCTTGAGCCTTTTATGTTAACAAGGTGCACGTTGTGATTAGTGAATAACAGACAACTAAACTTTACTAATATGTACACCAGCAAAACTAACCTAGGAAGCATTTTACTAACACCATTTTTGTGTCTGCTCAATAACTTTTGAGTTGCAGTAGGGATGATGCTGACACTAGTTCAATAATCAGTTAACTCTCTAACTAGTTTAGATCTCGTAGGGCTAGTTGAATAGAATCTAAGAATAAACCTCAAACAGACATGAAAATGGGTTCCGTCATAGGTCTAAAAGCAAAAACCAAACAGAAAAAAAAAAAAAAAAAGCCCAAAAAAAAATAACAAAAAATCTACATAATACAGGCATATCTCA